GTATTCAGATCATATCAGCTTTCCCTACCCACAGCTCGGTGACATGTGTGGAGTCATATCCAAGTTGATAACAATATTATTGACTCACAGTGGCCTGAGGGAAGACCTCCCGAATTTGTGATGTATAGTTAGGAAATGGCTTGTATTATACGTTCACTTTCCTTCTAGCTTTGTTCAGAATTGTGATATAGTTGACATTTTCTCTTTAACTTCCACTTTTATCAGAATGTTTCCGCATTCGGATGCAAAGCTAGTCAAGAAGCTCTGATGTATTAAAAGTTGTACCACCATAAGTTAACATTGGTTAACATTGGGTCAAATGCAGACAGAGAGAGATGACTACATGCTATGTTCGCGTTGTCTGTGTAATGGATATACAGACGAAAGAGCAGTCTGTCTGGCAAGTTAAATCGTAGTTCACACTGAACTGACGGTTCAACCGAAATTCTTCAACACATACGCGTACTGAACACCACTTCTCATAATATTCAGCGCGACAGCACAAAAGAAATTCAAACTGCCGCGTGATGAAACATATTTTACAATCGTCATTTTGGATTTTGGCTAAACTAAGTAATTTATGTTGCTCCTTTGTTCGTATTATGATCAGTAGTTATCGAAACACGTAACGCAACAATGTAAGTAAAACTGTTCTGTTGGTGACGGTTTTCGTCACAATGTCAGAAAATTTCATGTTGTGACGAAGTTTCGGGGAAGTTGATCAGTTTTAGCGGAAGAAGGCGGCAAATTTTCTCGTTACTTGTAACAGAATTTGGGCTTGCGCCGCCCCTCTGTATCACAGCTGACCACCAGTCACTGTCCTAATGGAAGTCGCTTAAACAGTTTCATTGCGCATGTGCCATGCTCCTTCACTGATTGCCTGATTTTCCGTTGTTTTCATACACATACAAGGAGTGTTTTCTCCGCCTGGTGATAAACAGAAAACAGGCACTTATCGCAACCTTCCAGGCATGTGTTCATCCCATAGACATCATAAACGAATTACAGCATGTACAGAAACTATTGTATCAATAGTAGTAGGATAGTTTAAAGGTTCGGCCACACAGAGCGCTACGTACGCTATGTTCGCTATACGAACAGAAAAATATCTCCCTTTATTGCCAATGTGACTGGCCACACAGACTTCCGTACGCTACGTACTCTATGTTCTCTATGTTAGCTGCGTCGCAGAGTGAACACAACGTACGTAGCATACGTAGCGAACATAGCATAGCGCTCTGTGTGGCCGAACCTTAAATGTCCCAAAATAATGTACATTCCACACAAACAGAAAGTTAATATTGTTAATATTCTCACGTGTTAAATTAATGAATATATACATGCAAGAACATTAACTAACGGAATTATTTAGTAATGACATACATTAACTGTTACAATGGCTTAGGGGCTATCGTGTTTGAAAGTTAAATGACATTTTAAGAAAAAATCTGTACATGTTCTGTGTAATACTTTATAACTCAATCGAGTTCTATGTATATGCAGGAGCTAAGGTTCTTGCAACGGCTGTTGTGAAGAATTCTGTCTTCTGGGATATAACGCCTTATAGTCCGTTGAAAATTGACAGACGTTTCGGATGAACATGTTGCCTCTATCTTCATGGTCGAAGAATAAGTCAAGAAACCAGAGTGAGCTGCGCAGTAAACTTACCATTCAACCCAGATGATGTAGGTGACAAGTTCCTCCTGAACGTCGGTTAATTTCCAACGGAATACTCAGCATTAGGTTCCAGAAGATATAATTATGAATTTATTTGAAATTTTTATGAACTAGTTTAAAAACTTACCCCGCTGAGACTCCCAATTAAAGGACCCAGATTACCCAAGAGGGCCCCTATGTCGGATCCACCACCCTCTTCATCACCTCCCTGCATGGTTATAGTGGTTAGTTGAAGGAAAATTTGTTACACAGCACTTTCGTTTAATTTAGTATTTATACGTACTTCCATGAATATATACAGACTTACCCCGCTGAGACCACCGATAAGAGGGCCAAGGTTACCCAAAAGGGCGCCAATATCAGATCCGCCACCCTCTTCACCCTCTCCACCCTAGGCAACCAAAATGGTTAGTGGCAGGAAGAAGAGATTAGTTTATATACAAGCCATATATTTGTAATGTAAATTCACATATTTGCTATTCCTTGCAGTAACTAAAGCATTCGCTCTGTCCGGAGACGTGTGGGAAATTTACTGAGGTTCATATTAGTGCACTTGCAGCTCGAGGTATTACTCTACATGAAGCTTATTAATTAAAATTTAGTTTAATATATCGATCAGTTTTTATTTTATTTCAAATTGTTCAGTATATTTTATTCAAATAATATGATAAGAAGCCAGGAAATATGAATATAGCCTGTCAGTTCCTATGGGTTCACTCATTTCGGTTCAGTTATCTGGAAACTCATGAAAATCGGGGAACATTTCACTGGACATTTAAATGTACACAATTTTCGCTAGAAGGAATGGCTACATAAATATTTAATGTGATACGCGCGGGTTATAATCGAAATATCTGCAGTTAAACATGACCATTAGTGCAAAGTGCCCATTGTAAGATTTGAGGCTTTCACGGCGGTGACTATGAAGAAAGCAGTCTTCTGGGATTTGGCACCGTGTATATGTGGTGTTAACCGACGTTTCGGAGGAACGTATCGCCTCCATCTTCAGGGTAGAAGAAAAAGTATAAGAAATCTGCAAGCGACAAGACCGTGAGAACGGTAAAAGCAGATGGAGGCGATACGTTCCTCCGAAACGTCGGTTAACACCACATATACACGGTGCCAAATCCCAGAAGACTGCTTTCTTCATAGTCACCGCCGTGAAAGCCTCAAATCTTACAA